GCCACGCTTTTTCCACGTCCCTTTTAGGACTGGTAGTTGGAGAATCATGGGTAATGTAGAGCGTAATGGCCGCAAGTCAAAAAGAATGTCATAAAGTTATTCGAATGAGAAGTACGAGTTTTCTGGGCTGGAAAGGAACATAAATGAAGACCAAACAGCATCAAAGAGTTCTGTGTAAGTCTCATCACTTCACAAACTAATGAATCCACCGTAAACGTGTAGAAATAATAACACGCTTCACGCAGTTCAGTGTCTGGGTATGCTAACAAGCTCTCGTGCTGTTAGCGTGAGACATTATTCACCGATTTCAGGTACTGTACGCAATGCTAGGTTGGTTAGCATAACCGCTAATATTGCTGCGTCCCCAATTATTAGGCAGCAATGCTCTCAGTAATGTTTGGTCTGTTAACAAATCAAAGTTGGTGATTGGGACGATGTCATCATCTTCTGTTGTTTCTGAGAGCCATGGCACAGATTAGGCGTTTTACTTGCTTCGACATATGAAACCTGGAACGGATTAAATTCGTATCTCCAGGTACAGCTGTATTATTCTATGCAGAATATGTGAATATGTAATAATTATCCTCTATATCACAGGTATTAACAATTTTAATATTTAGAACCACATGTTCAAATAGGAGAGTGTTGGGAGTGCCAGTGAAAGTCTGGAGCCAGACATTTTCTAAATTTCTTGACAACGCCCAACACTTTCTCTGTCTGCTGTACCCAATCTGCATAGAGATGAGCCGTACTAGCGATTAATTTGATTGGACAGTGGGTGGAGCTGGAACTATGGGCGTTGCAAGGAACATTAAGGCGTTTTCAGCTCAGAAAAAATTAATAAAAGGATTACACAAACATGCGTGAAAGATTCTGAATAAAAGTTGGAGCAAGTGATGATTGAACGCCACTAAAAGTTTCTAGGAATGTCAGCAAAGTTGATTTTGTATAATTTGGCCTTTTTAAATAATAAAATATTCTGGGATTGCACTGAAAAGTAACGCTACAAGCAGCGATCAAAGGCCTTGAGCACCTCATGCACCATCACCCCTTGGACAATTTGTTGCACTAGTTTTTTGTAGCTCATATATTCTTACATAAGTGTTCCAAATTCAACAAAACAGCATAAAATGATATATTCCATGTAGCCACTATGTGGCGCTATAACTAGCACCATAGTTTGCTCTATAGATGTGTTCACTGAGTCTAAACACGTAAATGATTCCAATCGGACAATGAATGACTTCAAGCGAGTTGTAAAAAGCATGCAGTTGTACTAAATATTACCAGAAAATAAAAAAAAAAAACTGACTTCCTGTTTGTTTTCGAAACTCAGGACTACTTGCACTAAGACCTCGGGTTCTTCTCAATATCGCTCGGTAAGCTCCGTTTTCACAATGGCTAGGATCTTTCCAGGATGAACGTCACCAATGTGGTTCGTTTGTGAAAAAAAAAAACACAAAAGCACCATCCAGCGAGCTAGAAACTGGATTTAAATTATACACAGCCACTAATATAAACAGTTTTTTTTTTTCATTTTAACACATACCGGATCTAATGATGAAGGGCCATCGGTACAGCGGCTCATATCATCGGCACGCTCCTCCAAGAGGAGTTTGTTAAAAGTATGACATAAGCAAAAGTGCTCATTTTTAAAAGGTTTTTTTTAAAAATAGCCAACGTCCTGTCGATTTTGGAACTGCGATCAATGATAGTTATATTTACGTCTTAGAACCCTACACACATGTGCCGAATATCGTTCGCCTATGACAAACTGTTTGAGCACCATAACATATAACCGATCAGAATTTTAATTTGAACCAACTCTGACGTCTGCGTCATTCTGTGACTTTTTGAAAACGATAATGCTCTGAGCAATTACAATATGCTTCTACGCACCTTCAGTCCTTGATCCCTAATGAAAACAAACTTGAACTCTCATTTAAAGTTAATTGGTAGTTGTCATTTATTCCTCTATACACAATATATATATATATATATATATATATATATA